TGGCTGTAAGTGACTACCTTCTATGTGTGTAACTGTGAGGGACTTCTGACAGGGCCGGAGTGGTCTTGCCTGGGGGTGTGCCTGGCTGCGTACGTGTCCTGTGTATACACCATCACTAGTGCCTGTCTCTGTGATGGTGGCCGCATGTGATGGCCATCCCTGTGGAAATGCACATGCAAGGTGGGGAGGGGTTCGAGTGTGTGTGAAACTGCATAGGCACCTCTTCGTCACTGCCATTTCTCTGTGTGATGGGTGTGATGTTGTATGTCACTGCACATTGCTCTCTCTGTGACAGCTGGTGTGTGACTTTCTGTGTGGGGGAGGCTATGTATGACAGTCATCTCTCCGACTGTCTCCTGTGACCTGTGTATATTTGCCTGACTCTGCATGAGTGGCTGTAGGTAACTGCCTTCTGTGTATAAAGTGTGGGTGTCTGTGGCAGATCATGTGCCCATAGCTGACTCAGAGGGCAGGTGAATATGAGTGCCATCTCTGTGACCTCTGTGCAGGTGTGCATGTTCAAATGTGTTCGTGGGTCTGACTGCATAGTGGCTGTGACTACCTTCTGTGTGTGTGTAACTGTGTAAAATTATGTGAGTGACTGTGTGCAAGAGACCACCTCCTGTGGGCACAACAGTGTGCATGTGTCTATTGTGACTGTGGTGATGGCATGCATATGATTGTGTCTGTGCCGGAGCAGCTGTGGATTATTGTTCCCTGAGAAATTGCGCATGCATGCAGGTAACTAGTACCATGTATAGTGCTGTGTGTCTGCACCTCTCTTTGGCGCTGTGTATATAAAGCCCTGTGTTGTGCATGTGTCCCATGTTTGACCCAGGGAGGGGAGCATGTGCCTCTTGGTCTCACACTTGGGCATGTATGTGAGGACATATCTTTCTCTGTGTCTCATGTCACTGTCTCTTGACATCTTAGTCTCCATGTTTCACAACTCTACTTCATGTCCCCATCCATCCTAGTCCATTTCTGGTGTCTCCATATCTCTGTATCTCATGTCTCTAGGTCTTGGTCTGATGTGTCCACGTCTCCAAGTCTCTCTTGTGTCTCCATGTCCTCCCCTCCCTCATTTTGAAGCCCTGGTCTTGTGTCTCCTGGATTCCCGGTCCCATGTCTCCATCTCTCTGACTTGCATCTCCCTGTCTTCATTTGTCCTGGTCTCCATGTCTCTGGGTCTCCCTCAACTGCTGCGTCCTCAGGCCCCCACCCACATGCCCCTATGTCTCTTCTCTCCCTGCCGCAGTTTAATCCAGAGCTGGTGCTGGTCTCAGCTGGCTTTGACGCTGCCCGGGGAGACCCACTGGGTGGCTGCCAGGTGTCACCTGAGGGCTATGCCCACCTCACCCACCTGCTGATGGGCCTGGCCAATGGCCACATTATCCTGATCCTAGAGGTAACTCTCTTTGTCCCTCTTCCCGCAGTGGGAGGGTGGTCGGGAGGCCCTACCCTTTCTACTGACTGGCCGCGACACTCAGGGCTGTTTCCTAAAACCTCCTTTGAGTGTCCCCACCTGGGCTTGTGGACTCACATTGGGCATTAATAATAATACCAGCAGTAGCAACTTTAATTGCACGCTCACTAAGTACAAGACACACTTCTCAGCACTTTACGTGCATTATTAATATGTTTATTCGACACAGCAGTCTCATGAGGGAGGGTCTGCTGACCTCGTCATTTTCCTCTCAAGATCAGGGAAACTGAGGCACAGAGAAGTGTAGTAACTGGCCTGAGGTCACATATTTAATAATGGCAGAGCCAGGCTTTGAACCCAGGCAGCCTGACTCCAGAGTCTTTTCTTTTTTTTTTTCTTTTTTTTGTGTTGAATTATAGCTGATTTACAATGTTGTGTTAATTTCTGGTGTATAGCATAGTGATTCAGTGACACATATATGTATGTGTGTGTATATAAATATATTTTTTCCTATGCTTTTTACCACTACTGGAACTGCCTCCAACAAGTTCCTGAGACAAAGTAAATTCACTGACCTTTTGTAAATTACTCAGTACCCCACCCTCTGTGCCTCAGTTTCCTCATTTGTAAGGTGCAGCTGGCTAATCACAGAGGGGTGCCTGGCATATGGAAAACACAATACAAATTCTGTGGCTGCTTCTTTTTACACATTGTTCACACATTAGTTTAACCCTCTCAGCAACCTTCTGTGCTGTTATTTTTACTCCTTTACAGACAAGGAGAATAAGTTACAGAGAGATTAACTGCCTGGTAAAATGTCCCACTGTGCACCCAGGCCTGCTTGTGGCGGGACAGGGTAGTGGACTCTTTAATCACATGGCCCAGGTTCCAACCTCAGCGCTACCTCTTAACAGCTGTCATGATCTCAGACAAGCCATCTAACCACTCTGAGCCTCAGATTTTTAATCTGCAAAGAGCAGAGACTGGGGGGTTCCTATAGAGTGAGAGAAGGGGGGGTTCCTGTACCAGGTTAGGACAGAGGTTCGTGTAGAGAGAAAACCAGTTGTCCATGTACCAGGTCAGGGCAAGGGCTCCTGTGTGGCGGGGCCATGGGAACTTGAGTACATGTGGTTGTGGGATTCAGTACTTAGAGTAGGGCCTGGCACACAGCAAGCATTTAATGAAGGTCAGCTCTTACTAACATTGCCGTGAGTACTGCTATTGTTGTGGTTTTTATCTTGCACTTTACATCACAGTTTATCCCCCTCAACAACCACTTCACACAGTGGGTGCTGCCCATCTGACAGATTGTGGGTTCTTGTGCTGTGGACCCAAAGGGAGATTGGAAGGCAGGTCATCTTGTCTCCCAAATTCCCTGAGGACTCGCTGGCAATCATACCTTTCCCTCCTCTTTTCCTTAACAAAGGGTGGCTATAATCTGACATCCATCTCGGAGTCCATGGCTGCATGCACCCGTTCCCTCCTTGGGGATCCGCTCCCCATGCTGACCCTCCTGCGGCCCCCACTATCAGGGGCCCTGGCCTCGATCGCTGAGACCATCCAAGTCCATCGCAGATACTGGCGCAGCTTGCGGGTCATGAGTGAGTGGGCATGGGGAATTGAGGGCAGTGGGGGCTCAGGGGAGGGCAAGGATTAGAGGCGGGAGAGAGGGTAGCACCCACACTCAAGGATCTCCCTCTCATGGTTCCAGAGGTCGAAGACAAAGAGGGACCCTCCAGTTCTGAGTTGATCACCAAGAAGTCACCCCAACCAGCCCATCCTGGGTCAGCCAAAGGGTTGACCATGCCAGAAGGGAACATTCTGGATGCAGGCCTGGGAAAGGCCACCTCAGCATCATCCGTGAAAGAGTCCGCTTCAGAGACAGCTGTGGTGGAGCTCACTCAGGACCAGTCCTCAGAGGCAGCCATAGGAGGAGCCACACTGGACCAGACCACCTCGGAAGAGGCAACAGGGGGAGCTGAGCCGATCCAGAACCCTCCAGCCTCATGCCCTGTCAACCAGACTCCTCCCACCTCACCCGTACAAGGAGCCACAACCCAGGAGCGATCCCCCCGTAAGCTGATTGGGAATCTCAGGACCTTGGAACTGGACAGTGAGCCTCAGGTAAGGCCCACCACACTCAGGTAGGGGGAAGAAGAGACAAGAACTGGGCCTCCTGGATACATCTCTTAACCTCTGTGTGTATAGGAACCCCCCGAAGAGAAGGGGCTACTAGGAGAGGCAGCTGGAGGTCAGGACACGGATGAATCAGTGCTGACGCAGGTCTTTGGAGACCATGCTGACACTGACCAGGTGAGGTCAGGGAGAGGTGGGAACAGTGGCTCCCTTCTCTCACCTGTTTCTTCCTCTACCTGGGCGCATGTGATATAGGAACATTTGATGGGAAGATGGAGTCCCTAGCTGACTCAGTTTCACCTACCCCAGGTCATGTTTTATGCTGTGACGCCACTCCCCTGGTGTCCCCATTTGGTGGCAGTATGCCCCACACCTGAAGCAGGCCTCAGTGTGACCCAACCCTGTCAGGACTGTGGAACACACCAGGAGAACTGGGTGTGTCTGTCTTGCTATCAGGTATGCAGCTAAGGAAGGGGATGGGGTGGAGGCTGGCCCAGGAGCAAACCACAGGTGGGTGCTGATCCCCACCCAATACTTGCTCCCCAACCTCAGGTCTACTGCGGTCGTTACGTCAACGGCCATATGCTCCAACACCATGAAGGCTCGGGACACCCGCTGGTACTCAGCTATGCTGACCTGTCTGCCTGGTGTTACCGCTGTCAGGCCTATGTCCATCACGAGGTGGGCCCTGGGTAGACCCTCTAACACGTGCACACTCACCCCCACCCCCATACACACACACCCTTAGGGGCAAATAGAGACCCTTCTGCATGCGGGCTAGTCCAAGAGACAAGGCGGTGAAGGGCTGGAGCGGGGGCAGCCTCCTGGCTGCAGTAGGAGGGTGCTCACTCTCTTGACTCCGCCACTCTCTTGCCTCCTCCTCAGGCTCTCCTAGCCGTGAAGAACATCGCCTACCAGAACAAGTTTGGGGAGGATTTGCCCCACTCACACTAAATCCCAGAATGTGCTGCTCTTCACCTCTGAAGCCCAAGAAAGACCAGCCTTAGTTCATTCCAACCTGTATCTTGGATGAGGGGCAGCCTCAATCCTTCTGATCCTGAAGACCCTTTACAACTCCCCAAGGGTGCTGATTTAAGTGTAAATACTTGTACGCAGACTGTGATGATCAGTTGGAGATCTCCCCCTGCCTGCTCGAGGGACTCCATCTACTCTGCCAGAAGGAAAGTGGGGCAGCTCAGCGGCCCCAAGACAGGGCTCATATCATAAAGATGATACTTTAGAGGGAGGGGGGATCAACTGGCAGGTATTGGCGGGGTTGCATATGTAATAAAGTACAAGTTGTTGCAAATCTGGAGAAAGCCTTTAACTTTGGGTAGAGAACTCCACACTTCTGGCCAACACGGCTAGTGAGTAATGAAGAAATGAGGGTACGGATCTTTACTGGGTTGACCCCCTGCTCATCCAGTGCCCCGAAATACTAACTGGAAATACAGCAAGCAATTTGGCTCCATAAGAGAGTAAATGGTGGAATCTTGTGAGAAAATGAGTGCCTGCTTTACAAATAGGAAACTCACAGCCAGTCCCAGCTACATTCTGGGCTCGGAAGGCAAGAAAACTATCACAAAGTGTCGTCACTAGGCCTCAGTCTCCCCATCTGTCTGTCTTGATTGGGGACTGGAGGGACAAGGGTCCAGGTTTAACATACTTAGATTTGGTGGTCATGGGTAGCTTCCTGGGGGAAGTGCCTACTATTGAGCAAGGGTGGGGAATTGGAGGATAATTTGGGGGTTTTATTTCTCCCACATAATAAGAATTACTTTGGCAACTCAAAGGAGCCTGGGCTGAGGTTTCCTGGACTTTTCTTCATGGCTACCCTATGACCCCAAGATGACCACCAGAGCCCCACCCAATCAAGACTAGGGGACTGGGGAAAGGGAAGGAGGCTGCTGGCCAGCTCAGTCATCCTCCTTTGAAGGAGCATTCTGGATGTCCCTGCCCTACAACCCCTGCTTACATTTCATTAGTCAGAACTGTGTCACATGACTGTCATAGCTGCAAGGGAGTCTTAAGAAATGTTTTAGCTTGAGACGCATCCACCTCAAATCAGGTTCTTTTCTGCCTTTACAGAGTAACTCTTAGCAACTCTCTCCCTCCAGGAATGGATACAACCCTCTCCCGAGCTACCAAAAAGCCTGCTTGAGGCAGTGCAAACTCCGGGGCCTCAGAGGCCCTCTCCAAACATTTCACAAAGTCTGGACACTCAGGTCAAAAATCTGACATCCTCCACACACTAAAAACACGAAATCCCGTCCCAGATGGGGGCAAGGTAAGGAAGAAGTGCAGCAGGATGCAGGGGGCACACAGAGGAGTCCGTGCTCACGACGCATCGCGAGACCACCTGGCGCACACTTGCGGGCGGGCGGTGACCCGGCGCTCACCTGGGGGCGGGGGTGCTCCCGCCGGAGGGGCCTGAGGGCAGCCCGCCGCGCATGCGCACTCCCTCCTCCTCCGCAGTCCTCCGCCGGGAAGAGGTGCGAGCATCTCCTCCCCTGTCAGTCCTGTCAGAGCGGCGGCGAGTTCGGGTCCCAGCGACACCAGCCTTCCCGGGACAGAGGTGAGCTGGGCCTCCTGGGCCCCCAGCCCCGGCCTCGATCTGGGAGGACTTTCCACTCAGGGTTGTGGGAGTGCGGCCTAGGTCGTGAGTGAGGGGACCCCTCCCCCGCCGCCTCCCCGCCTCGGGGACCACCATCCTCTTCCCGCCCCCGAGGGCCGCCATTATAAGAACCCGCCTTGGCGAGGGTGTGGGCGCCGGGCAGGGAGGCTTGGGCCGAGCACCGGGTCTCGGTTTCAGGGTGAAACTCGGTCCCCCCTCCCCGCCAGCCAGCCACCCGGAC